TATTCAGTTTCATGTTCTCCGGTCTCCACATATTCCGCTTATCCTGGGTTACCCATGGCTCCGCCGCCACAACCCTAACATTGACTGGGAGACGGGAGCCATTTTGGGGTGGAGCCCCTCTTGTCATCAGATCTGTCTGAAACAGGCTGCCGCGCCTCAGCGTTCGGTGAACCCCAGCCAAGTTCCGGATGTTACAGGGGTTCCACCGGAATATCTGGACTTTAAGGAAGTATTCAGCAAGACGAGGGCTACTTCCCTACCACCACACCGGCCTTACGACTGTGCCATCGACCTACATCCCGGTACCAGCCCTCCCAGGGGTCGATTGTACTCCCTGTCTGCTCCGGAAAGAGTTTCCATGGAGACGTACATCAATAACTCTCTGGCGGCTGGGATTATTCGCCCTTCCTCATCACCCGCTGGAGCGGGGTTCTTCTTTGTGGAGAAGAAGGACAAGACCCTAAGGCCCTGTATCGACTTTCGGGGTCTTAATGACATTACTGTAAAAAATCGATACCCACTGCCTCTTATCTCCTCTGCATTCGAGTTGCTGCAGGGAGCAACCATATTCACCAAGCTGGACTTGCGTAACGCGTACCACTTGGTACGTATTCGCGAGGGGGATGAGTGGAAGACCGCCTTCAACACTGCCTCGGGGCACTACGAGTATCTGGTGATGCCTTTTGGACTTACCAACGCCCCTGCAGTATTCCAGGCGTTGGTAAATGACGTGCTCCGTGACATGTTGGACCGACACGTATTTATTTACTTGGATGACATCCTGATATTTTCCAAGACTCTGAAGGAACACGTGCACCACGTCCAGGCGGTTCTCAAGAGGTTGCTGGAGAACTCACTGTTTGTTAAAACGGAGAAGTGTGAGTTTCACACATCCTCTGTCTCTTTTCTGGGATACATCGTGGGACAGGGGAGCATTGAGATGGATCCCTCCAAGGTCGATGCAGTCACTTCCTGGCCGGTTCCAGACTCCCGGAAGCGGCTACAACAGTTCCTCGGGTTCGCCAACTTCTACCGGAGGTTCATTCGTGGATACAGCACCTTGGCCGTTCCACTCACAGCCCTGACCTCCTCTAAGGTTATGTTCCAGTGGTCCTCCTCGGCTGAGGAGGCGTTCCAGAACCTTAAGGCCAGGTTTACCTCCGCCCCCATCCTCCGAGTACCCGATCCTGAAAGACAATTTGTTTTGGAGGTGGATGCTTCTGATATGGGGGTGGGGGCCATCCTGTCTCAGCGAGCAACAGACAGCCAAAAACTCCATCCCTGTGCTTTCTTTTCGAGGCGTTTGACACCAGCGGAAAGAAACTATGATGTTGGAAACCGGGAGCTGCTAGCAGTGAAGTTGGCTCTGGAGGAGTGGCGTCACTGGCTCGAGGGGACCAGTCAACCTTTCCTGGTGTGGACCGACCACAAGAATTTGGAATACATCCGGTCGGCCCGCAGACTGAATTCCCGACAGGCTAGATGGGCCCTATTTTTCACTCGGTTCAATTTCTCCCTCTCCTACCGCCCTGGTTCTCGGAACATTAAGGCTGACGCTCTGTCTCGTCAGTTTGGGGAGGGAGGTAACATTCCCAGAGGCTCAGACACCATCCTTCCAACTCCTCAGCTCGTCGCCGCCCTTACCTGGGAAGTGGAGGAGAGGGTCAAGGCCGCCCTGGATGACCAGCCGGGACCCAGTGCCTGTCCTCCGAACCGCCTGTTCGTTCCGCAGATGTTGAGGTCTGATGTTATCCAGTGGGCCCACAACTCCAGACTCACCTGCCATCCTGGTATCCAACGTACCCGGGAGGTAGTCCAGCAAAGGTTCTGGTGGGCAACACTTAAGGAGGACACCAGGGAATTTGTTAATGCCTGCCCTGTGTGCAATCAACACAAGTCTTCTCACCAAGCTCCTGCTGGTCTCCTACAACCTCTGCCTATCCCTCATCGCCCCTGGTCCCACATTTCTCTGGACTTTGTTACTGGTCTGCCACCGTCCAACGGGCACACTGCCATTTTGACGGTGGTAGACCGGTTCAGTAAGATGGCTCATTTTGTGCCGATACCCAAGCTCCCCTCAGCTAAAGAGACGGCGGAGCTGGTCCTGCTCCATGTGTTCCGGCTCCATGGGCTACCTACCGATGTGGTTTCCGATCGTGGTCCCCAATTTACCTCGGTGTTCTGGAGGGAATTCTGCACACTCATTGGGGCCACGGTCAGTCTGTCTTCCGGTTTCCATCCTCAGTCCAACGGTCAGACCGAAAGGAAGAACCAGGAGATGGAGACGGCTTTACGTTGTATAGTCTCCAAGCACCCAGCGGCCTGGGCTAAACAACTGCTCTGGGTCGAGTACGCCCACAACACTTTGATCAGTTCGGCCACCAAGCTGTCCCCATTTCAGTGTGCATACGGGTTCCAACCCCCTCTGTTTCCGGCCCTGGAGAGGGAGGTTACCTGTCCGTCCGTTCAGGCTTTCATTCGTCGCTGTCGCCAGACCTGGAATCAAGCCCGGATAACTCTTGTTCGTTCGGCCAACCGGTACGCCTCCTCTGCCAACCGCCGACGTTCCAAGGCACCCGTCTACCAGGTGGGCCAAAAGGTATGGCTGTCCACCCAGGATATTCCTTTACGGGTGGAGTCGAAAAAGCTTGCACCGAGGTTCATTGGACCATTTGAGATTATAAGGATAATCAATCCCGCAGCAGTAAGGCTAAGACTGCCTCGGACTCTGCGGGTCCATCCCACCTTTCATGTTTCCAGGATCAAACCTGTCCGAGAGAGTGCACTGGTTCCTGCGGTCCCTCCTCCACCACCCCCCCGGATGATTGACGGCGGACCTACGTACACTTTCCATCGACTGCTTCGTTCCCGTCGCAGAGGGAGAGGAGTCCAGTACCTGGTAGACTGGGAGGGTTACGGCCCTGAGGAGAGGTCTTGGGTTCCAGCTCGTCATGTGTTGGACCCCCGGCTCATCAGAGAGTTCCATCAGCGCAATCCCGAGCAACCTTCTAAGGCCATCACATCGACGGGCAGAGACACTAGGAGAGTCTCTCCACATACTGTCAGCTCTTCCGAGGAGGACAGTGAGGGGCCTGCTTCTGATGAGGACGCCGATTCCCACAGGGGGCAGGAGAAGGAGGCCGAAAGAACTTTTTCAGATGAGTACTAACCCCACCTCCCACCCTCCTCTGTAGATTAGTGTTTAGGGACGTCAGGAGCCGTCCATTAAGGGGGGGGTTCTGTCACAGTTCTGCTCCATCATTCACCAGTAGTTTTCCATTCACCTGTCTCACCTGTTAACCACACCCACGTTTTTGCTCACTCTCTTTCTCTTCTGCACCCATTAGCTTTACTGCCAGTATTTAAACCCTCACCAGACACACACCCATTGCCAGATCGTACTTTGTCTTCATGCTAGTCTTTCACGCGTTTGTCACCAGATTGCCCACCCGGTTCCGACCCTGCCTGTCCCTGACCTGCCTGCTCTGCCTGTTCCCTGATCCTGCCTGTCCCTGGACTATCCTGCCTTGCCTGCTGTCTGACCCTGCCTGTACCTACGTTGACCGCCTCGCCTGCTCCCTGACCCTCTGCCCGGCCCTGACTCACCTTCTGCCCGCTGTCCTCTGGTTCGTCGGCCTGCACATCATCCGGCTGATACTGTTCTGCTGGTATTCCTCTGCTCTGGTAGTATTACCAATAAAGTACATTACCAATACTCCTTGGTTTCTCGAGTGCTGCATTTGGGTCCTTCATAAGATCGTGACACATAGCTTCATATTTGCCCCAAGGCCCCCCAAAAGACTTAATCCGGCCCTGGCAATCCAAACTCAAATGCATCATCAAAAACATAATATTTATGGTAGACTGTCAATTAAATAATTTAAACAAATATTTGTAAGAAGTAAGGTAGTTTTACATAAATATAGGAATCGACTTTTGTAAGGGTTTTAAAAAATACATGTTTCTGCAACAAAATGTCACATTTTCTTTCATAAGAATGTTCTCAGCCTTCATGTTCTGCTGCTAACTCTGTCCATGGACTGAAAATGTTTTTCCATACAGGGAAGTGATGCATAAAACCAGCTGTATGTCATGGAGAGATAAGAAAAGGCAGACATTGGCATTAAAGCATAGTGGAGTTCAGCACCAAACCTCCTCGGTGGCCCTCAGCCAGAATCTAGACTTCATTAATGATACTGTGTAGTTATTAGTTCCAGCTCAGTATTTTTCTCTCAGGGATGGAGCAGTATTAGGAGTTTCTTTTCCACTTTGGACCCTGCCTCCACTTTTTCTCAGTATCAGAAATCCAGTCCCAGCAGCCTCATTACCGCCTGCAAGGCTGCTGTTGTAACATGACGGGAGGAGGTGCGTTCAGGTGTGGGTCGTGGCCGGTCTAAGAAGTGCTGTAATAGTGGACTTTGGCCCTGCCTGACGCCACACATCTCTCCTCTCACTAATAAGGACTTTAAAGGACTCCAACACAACAAAACAAACTCAGTGGTGCGTTGAAAGGGAGCAGGATTTCAGTCACAACATTGGTTAGCAAATAAACAATGTGTTATAAGTTTGTGTGGTATTACACATAATGATGTATCCCTCCTTGGGTTTAACTGACAATGGCGTGAAGTGAAGTGTCGCCTTTATTATTATTTATAAAGTGCAACGAGTCATTTGGGGCGCACATATTCCGTTTCGAAGTGCGTTTGCGCTTTTATTTTGAAAGGAATATATTTGAACAAAACGATTAATATAAAATGAATATAATATGTATAATAAAACGCACTACAAAGGAAACAACCTATACGCAAAGTCCAAACAAGAACAAACTGAAACCCGGATATATAAAAGTGTGAATATGTAAAAACTCAGCTCCACTGTACGCACCACTTTGTTGTCAACAACTTTCCCATGCGCTGCCTTAAGACCGACCAACTGTAACCTCGCTGAAAACAATAAAATAACAATCTAAACATATTAATCTATATTGGTTATCCTCTTACCGGCTTTATGTCTTCTGCAGGACCCAAAACGGGCGACACAGGAAACCAAAACTGCGCACAAAATCCACCACTTGTTGCATGGAGCCATGCTGTTGATCTGGGGGCTGGTCCGCGCTGAATGTAAAGTTGGAGGAAAACTTCATCAAGTTGTAGGGCTGAAGTTGTGAGTGGGTGTGTACTTCCGTTTGATAACACTATGACAGTCTTTGGGCGAATGAAACGGAAATTCCCAGTCATCTCTGATGGGACACTCATTTGAGGAAATACAATATTTCACTTGAATCATTAACGTTTACCAAGGAATTAAATGATCATGTTTTCAGTAAACACGTCTTTGTTATTTTTTCATTTTCAAGCCATCTTCACAGGATGGCCCAAACATACAGATACTTATTATACAAATCATGTAAATACAGAATAAGGAAATTAAGGCAAAGAGCTCCCTCCCAAACGTACCTCCCCCACCCCTCTTTCTATTTCACAATTATTATAGATATTGTTTGTTTGCAGTCAAATAGGTTAATCAAATCACGTAACATTTCACTATAAATACATTTTAGCATAACAGTTCATCATTGTACACAAAGTTGGCAAAACATGAGCAATCCATCGGAGTACTTTAGCTCAATTTCATAGCCACGCCCCCTTTTGGGTGAAAACATTTGCTGTCATTTGACTAGTGGTTTTCACTAATCATGTAAAAAAATCAAAGATAACTGCATGTTTTTATCTACAAGGGGCCTAAATATGATGGCTATAGAAAATATTACATGATGGCATCGGAGATCGATCATCAGCGTCGATAAATAGTTAAATTAAAGCTATTTTTCTATGCCAGTCTGCCGGTGGACGAGTGGCAGGCAGCAGGCTAACATTTAAACTGGTATTGCCTTGTCTTGTCAGTGTTTTATATTTAAATTCAGCATCCACAGCCAATACTTTGACTTTTAAAGTTACCAATGTTTACTTTGAAGATTGATTTGAAGATACTTTGAAGAATGTTAACCTGATTAGCATTATAATGTGAGGAAGTGTTTCATATAGACGTCCACGTTTTAACTGAACGATCCCATTGATATTGATCTCCTGGGGCGGGGCTTTCATTTTGTCACTACAGTGATGTTTTGCTGCTCTCATCTATTAGTCTTCTCCTTATCATCTTTTCAAATATCAAGGTATGCATGATATATCTAGAATCATATTTTACAAAAAGGAAATGACCAAGTTAGCAAAGTCTTTGTTTTTCAGCGATTTTGCCCTTAAAGGAGTATGAAATAATGGCTTTATAATATAAGGATTGTGGACTTCTGAAACTGCATCTCAGAAGAAAACCTGATTCTGCTGTTTAGCACACATACAACTCTCTGTCTCACCCAAAGGTTGCATCTTTTCAACCTCTCAACAGCACTTTAATACGCCGCAATTCATCTCACAGTGATGAGAAAATGTCATCCGAAGCCCACCACCAATACTCAGCAGTCTGCTTGTACCTGAGTTATGGCCTTTGGAGAGCTCTCCAGCCCCCTTCAGCTCCCGCAGGCCTCCGCTGGTGACACATACTGTAATTGAGCTTCAAGCTGGCACATACCCTATGAAATTATAGTCTGCCAGCCCCTTTGTGTCCCATATTTTCATAGCTTGAATGAATTCATTACACTGTGTTAAATACCGCACAATGTGCACTAACACACCATATACGGCTGGCTCTACAAATGCCAAGGCTGGAGATTTGATACGCAGCGGGGGGTTGCACGGAATAAATATTCTGGCTTTCACTGTCATGCAAGGCCCTTCAGTTGAGTTCATCCTTATCTTACTCAAAGTCTAAAGATTGGTGTCATCTTTGTGAAGCCCTGCGAGAGACATTTGTGATTTGGGGACATGGGCATACAAATTGACTTGGCTGATGAAACAGGACTATTTTGCTTGTCGGAGATTCCCTACTGCCACAAGCTGTCACGATTGTGACAAGATGTAATACTCGAAAATAAATAAATAATAATAATAATAAATCGAAATATTGTCGTGTCTGTGTGCCTAGATGAACTGCACAGAGCTCGTGTAGTAACCATGACCAGTCGCCATGCAATCAGCAGAGACTCCAACAAGTTACTGGTCCCAAATACGAAATAATCCGGAACATAACCCCAACATCCCAAACCTTTTTACACATTGTTATTGTATGGATTTATCCAAAGATGTGTAACATTAAGGCAGAGCTAGGATAGCTGTTTCCAGTATGTGTGCCAAGCTAAGTTACTAAGGTAAACTTTTCCTTTAACATTATATTTTCTGAGATATATAGCCGTTAGTGACTGTTTTTAGATCTAAGTTTAGTCTGTTGCTGATTTGAACTTTATTCATTCTGTTCACTACAAAACTAGGCGGATGTAAACATTGTTAAAATTCTGCGAAGCAAAAGAAACCCACCAATCAACACCAAAGTTAACTCATTATCTTTCTGTGGCTTTTGTGGCCTTTCATCAAGCTTCCAGCCAGGCAGTAACATATAGCGCGTTCACACCTGAGTACTTTTCGTCAGCGGTTCATTTGCCTAATCCACCCCCAGGAACTCATTTTGGTGTGAACGCGATCTGTTTTAGTTCATCAGAACTAAAAAAGTTCTCATGAACTAAAATTCTCATGAACTATTGTGGGAAAAGTACTTGGTGTGAACGTGCCTATACTGTGTAATGAAGGTAAGCTCCAAAACACAAAGCCTCCGATTCAGTCAGAAAATAATGAAAGTGTTTGGCTTAAGAATTCAATGGTAATTATTCATTTGTACAAGAACTGAACACTTCTACTTTGAATATTTTTAAATACTTTATTTATAGGTAATTTTAATCTTGGATATAGGATTTGGTTTTAGTTACTGTTGTAATACTGTAGTTCAACTAAAACTGGTCTTTTGGGTCGATTGTATCCTTACTACAGCTGCTGTCAAGGGAAAGTGAAAAATATTCAAAGAAAGTGAAAGATATCGCAAACTGACATTGTTTCAAAACTGATGGCGAAACTTTTGGTTCTCTCTTCAGATGGGGCCAGAACAAGCAAAGAAAGTGAAAGATATTTTAAGAAAGTGAAAGATTACTGTCAATGTTCCGAAACTGATGGCAAATCCTTTTGTTCTGTCCTTGGAAGATGTCAAAACAAGCACTCATTCTGGACAAGACTGACACATGGGGTCCTGGTCCAACTCCCTAGAACAGCTGGGAAAATCTGTGCTGGGAAAGCTAATATTTGTTTCCTCTCCCTGAAGGGACCCTGAGGTGCCATCAAGACAGCCTTTCCAAACGCCACGCGCTGTCATGGAGCTCGTAAACCAACCATCAGCAGAGGACAGTCACACTTATCTGCTCCCAGGAGTGACTGTGAGGAACTTTAGCAATGTGTTGCAGAGTGGAAAAAGATGCTCAGTCCCCCTTCCCTTGGCAAATAAAGGTTGGGAAACACAATAATAAAACGATAAAAAAAGTGCTATATCGCTCTAGATGTCATTAAGATAACTGTCCTGCGGAGATGTTATTGCGTGAGTCAGTTATATCACATCATCCCACCCTGAGTAAACTATGACTATTTTATTTTCGCATTGGGAAATATCGATTTGAGAAATGCTTTTCTTGACAAATAGTGTGTCATCGTTAATAGAGGTGTCATTATTCTGAGGTGCAGCAGAAGCAGAGCTGGGATTTCTGGCAGAACTTCACCTACTTTCAAGGTGCATGGAGAAAGGAAATTGGACATCTCAAGAGGTCCACATTTTAGCAGCGCTTCAACTTTAAACCGCTTTATTTGTCAGACCAGCGGGCTGTATTCTAGTACTTTTGGAGCTCAAGTGGGTCCAAACAGCAGCTCTCTTCTATGAATGACATTCATTTGAACCTTCTTCTCAAATAAAGTTGTTACGTCAACATTGAAGGAATAAGTATGAGTTCAAAGTCTTACAAAAATGTGAATCCACGTAAATATCTATAAATTGCAAATCTTAAAGCCCTTACACACCATTGTTTTTTTGTATGCGTGTGTTTGATGGTGTTTTCCAATTGCAGATTTAACCATTGGGAAATTCTTCTTAATAAGGCTGGTTTTGGTCTGCTTACTTATAACCATATTATGTTGATAACCTGTCTAAGCCAGGACACTTCCTAATTATCTCTTTAGCTCCTTAAGAATAATATATATGGATTTTCTATGAACAATAGGAAAGCTGGTGCTCATACATGATGTACCCACTGGAAATTGTCAGCACAAAAAATACATTTTAATTTCTATTATTGCATTAGTATCTCTCGTGCTATTCAGTAATACTTGCCTGGGATATTTTGGATTTATGTACAGCAGTTTTTTTCTTTGCTATCTTTTAACTTTTGTTATTTACAATGTGTAATAGATGATGAATGGCAAAATGAAAATGTCCGAATGTGATGCACGCAAATATAAACAGTGAGAATTAACATATATATTGTGATTTTAAATAACTCTTCATTCAAATTATATTCTGTATTGTTTTAAGATAAGATTCTTGAAAAAAAAAAAAAAATACTGGGAACAAGCTGAATCATCTCAACCCATTGACAGATTTGTGCTGGACAAAACAAGCTTTTATGACCTAAAATGACACTTCATGTCTTGTAACCACATCCCTGGCACTTTGTCAGTGTGTGCATGCTTGGTTTTACATTAGGTGCGCATGTGTGGGATGTCAGTGGACAAGAATGTGCCCGTCTGCGAGACTAATCATGCAGCGCTATTACTCACTCTGTTGAGGGAAACTGGGCCTCAGTGGTCCCCCACATTCTGCATGGAAAGTCTTAGAGGGAGAGAAAGTAAAAGTCACCATGTCGTATCTGCAGCAAAGTCTGATGGAATTTCCTGTGTGCTAATTTTCCCACGATATTGTGACCTCAATATTTTTCATTTGAAACAACGTTGGAGGACGAGACTCCAGACACTTTGGCTCGTAGTACATGACATGATGTCATTTGCCCTCTAGCCTCCCGGTAACTTCAGAGATGAATGAGGGAGCTTTGTTTTATATGTCTACAGGGGGGAATATGGAGAGGCCATGGGAAACCTATTTTATTTGAGTTACAGGTAGTTAAATATAACTTCTAAGAAACGCAAAATACAGCTGTAGTGAAAGTAACCTTCGTTGCCCACAGGTGGTTTAGCT